CACTGACTGTGCAAGATAGGGGTAAGGTCTGCGACTCTGCGTACACCCTACCCCCCCAATCCGCACAGTTTGGGATAATATTGGGTATGTTGTTGTTGACTTCTTGTTGTACACTGACGGTGCAAAAACTATTTTACACTAGCAGTGGATTTTAACCAATGATAATAGGTTAGCTATGCTTGTGAAGGATTTACCTGTAATAACTATTAAGTGGCCTAATTGTATAAATACTTTTTAAACTGTCAGTGCATAGAACTTAGATTCTTTACTGAATTAGGAAGGATTCTGTTCTTTTGACAAAGCTGTTTGTGAATGGTACTTTAAACAAGTTAAATGTAGCTGCTCATCGTGTTTATTTAAATGTAATTTCTTTGTGACTTTTTCTCAAATGGGTGCTTGTATGGATGATGTCTACCCATTTCTGTGTATTCTAGTTGTTGCTGTTGTTGATAAATGAATTGTCTTTGTTTCGTTGTCAAGAAAATGCATTCGTTTCAATAGTGCAAATCACATCATTAATTTCAGTTTCTGTCGTTTGAATCAGTTGACTATGCTTGTGCGTAAACTCTAATCACTCCCTCGGCATGGGCCCTTGAGTTAAAAGTTACTATGTTGGAGAATTTGATAATTAATATCTGTAGCTATTAATAATCCTTTTGTCTACCAAGAACACTAGTTATCTGAGTTTTTTTTCTTTTTGATAAAGTAACACTAGTTATCTGATTTAAAGTTACTATGTTAGAGAATTTGATATAATTAATATCTTTAACAATGAATAGTCCTTCTGTCTACCAAGAACACTAGTTATAAGAGAACCCTCATGAGTATTCGTAAAGAAGTAATAACAAGGAGCGAAGGAATAGCCGAAATTTCACTGTGAAGGTTCAAGGTTCACCCTTCCCTTTTCTCCGCAACTAAATAGCAAGGAGATTCACACTTTATGGGTGTTAGCCTGTTGACTTCCTGTTGATTTATGGGGTTCCTCTCTGTTAGCTGTTTAAAAAAATATGTTCTTTTAAAAAAAATGTAGAAAGTTTAGTTTTTGTTGGATCAGCTAATCACTAGTTATGGTTATTAAAAACAACTGTTGATAACATGTCATTTATACCACTGCAAATGAACCTGAGTCTGGAACTAGCTTCGATGCTTTTGTTGTCTTTAGTCAACTATTACAGTCAGTGACTATTTCTATAGAAGATTAGGTGTCCTTTGTAGAGAGAGAACTATCTTTCTATTTGAGTTCTCTGCTTTTGGTAAACTACTTGTATAATGGATGTAATCCCACATCCTTTTCATGTTCAATAACTTTTCTATTCGGGTCTGACCAATTTGCACCAAATCTGGAAATCTGCTTGCTTTCCTTTTTTGAGTTTTTCTTTTGGCTATATCTTCTGCTGGAGGTTGAGGAATAAAAGTGTATCTGGTTCAAGCTCATCAAAGTTGAGGTTTAGTGCTTGAGGAATCTGGAATTTACTCAGTTCGAACTTCTTGAACATATTCTCGAGTTAAGTTGAGCTTAAAAATAAGTTTGAATAAGGCTGTATCTTGCTGAAATAAGGGAAGCTGAGTCAAAGCATTTATCATTTTTTTCCTTGCTTTGGTTGCGATGCTTCGTAGAAATGTAGAGTGGCCAATCTTCATGCTAGTTTTATTAGCTTCCAATCAAGTTTGACATGGAACTGTTTCCATTTTTGTTTTTGTTTTATGTCGTGTTGTTTAAGCTTTTGGTCTCATAAAACTGTTTCTTTCTTTCTTTATTATTATTATTATTTTTTTTTTATTTTTATTTCTTCACTTATTTGTTTTTTTCCTTTCAGAAAGTTTAATTTAGAAGCATATGCTAGTAAACTTGATTGCCCAAACATGTTCTTTAAAATTATTATGACTTGATGCTGCCAATCAATCAGTTGCCACCCGTCTTGATATTAAGAAAGTTGATTGCCACTTATTCTGTGTTCTATAAGATGGATAAATATTTGTGGAGTTTTCCCTTCTTTGGATATTTCCTCTAGTAGTTATTGTATTCAATTCATTAAGCTACTCCTTAGAGTGACCATTTGCGCCAGGAGGCTTCCTTGTAAACACAATGATTGCAGTAATAATTGGATAGGGGCATCTTCAAATCATGTAGTTGAAGTGAAACTTTATAGAAGTAACCAGTTCTTTTCCCTTTCCGTTTTTCTTTTTCAAGTTCCTATTTTCAAGGACTTTGGCTAACAAGATAATAAAGATGGCATGATACAATAGGTAGATCATTTGGAGAGTTGTCATTGATCACCTCGAAATTTTAAAATCAAGGCTGATTTAGAAGCTACATTATGGCATTGTTAACGTACCTCCTAAAACTGACATTTGGATTATCTGGCCAATTTGGTGACCAGTTGTTGTTGTGTTATGATCTCTTCTGTCTATGCCCGGTGTTTCAATCTTGTACATCGATCTATCATCTCTGTCGTAGAACTTTCTGGTAATTATTCTCTAGCTTTTTGCATTCTTGCTAGAAAAACCTTGGCTTGATAGATGGAGTTGCTTCTTGTGTTAATTGAGTGAATTTCAAATTTCGTTGAAAAGGATATGTTCTTAAGCTCTTTGACTTGACAATGTGCTTCTTTTGCAAAACTGATTTCTAGCCTATCAATCATGGGAAATGTCCAGATGTTGCAACGTGTAGAGTGACAGATACATATTTTGTTGAATATTTGCAGGTGATAGGTTGACCAAAGAGAGATGGAGGACATACTAACAGAAATCCCTCCACCTTCAAGGTTCTTTTTGGAAGATCTGAACAACTTTTGTCCTCCGTCTCCTCCTCTTCCTTCTCCATTCCTGTTGTTTTCAACTCCTGACCAGGAGAAATTTTCTCGCCCTTCTCTCCTCATCGTTGCCCTGTCTTCTCCATCACTTCAAGTTTTTCATCATTTGTCCTCCAAAGCCCTTGTCGGAACTCTTATCCTTCCTGAAATCCCATTCTCTGGCAATTCAATCGAGCCCTCTCTTAAAGACAAATCGTGCAATATATATGCCCTGAATGAAGCTGATAACTTGATTATGATTGTGTCTGTACAATATCCAGTTACTGCAGAGAGATCTCATGCAGTGGCGAAGCTACTGATTGGAGAACAGATTATTCCAGGAAAGGTCTTAATCTTGGACTCCATTCGAAGTAATAACTTTCGAGGAAAACTTTCACCTGATGAAGCATTTGCATTTAAGCTGGAATCATCTGCAGAGAGAAAAGCAAAGGCTGATGGACATCAAGATTCACCGCTGGTAAAATGCGCAGACTATCTTCCATCAGGAAGTGTTGTGGATGGCTTGGCGGCTGCTTTATTGAGCCGATGTCAGTTAAAGAAGATCAGAGGAACACTGTGTGTTTCATGGCCTGAAGCTGGTATTTCAGTTATATCACTTGTTAAATCTCTACTGCTCAAGGATGTCCTGTCCGGAGTGAATCATATTAACGTTGGGGATCTTGAAGAGGAATTCCTAAAATTAGGTAGGAACAAGGATTTCCTTCTTGATTCTGAACTCTATACATGAAATGATGTCTTTGATTTAAAACAGATGGAACTTTTTCTGTTTCCAGCATCCCTCCTTTTTGTTAGATTTCAATGTAGTTTGAACAAAGCAATATTTTTATCATCTCCCAGATTACAAACTTGAACATGGTTCACCATGTCAAATTAATTTTATGTTTTACAGCTATTTGGAGAGTGATTTTCTAGGTGTTTGTATTGTGTCCATTATTTAGTTCATAGACTTAGATGCTCAGTGTATGAAGCTCTATAAACTTAAGGTACTTAAATATATATATTTGTAACTTATCTTTTACTTTGGTCCGATTAAACTTTTAATATACGTTTTTTTGTTTTAACCATTGGTATCCGGAATTCAGTAGTTCGACTAAGCTGGAATCATGGTGCTCAAGAATGTTTCTATTCTCAAGGTTTGAACCAAATAACGAGGAACAGGGAAGATGTGAGAGAAGAATATTTTGATAGAAAAAGAGCCCATAAAAATCAAATCTTGTATAAATCGATAAACCAAGAATTAATGCTAGTGAAACACTTATGCTGGTAAATTTTTCATGCTATTAAGTAAAGGAATGCAAGCCTAACAAGTTGTCATCATGAAAAAGGGATAAATGCAGCTTGTAATATTTTTTGTATAGCCTTTTCTTTTATTACGGTAGTGTTCGGTTCAGATTGCATGTACTTACCCTATTTCATCTTAACCAGATAACTCTATTTATCAAGATTAAAGTTTTTTCTTTTCTTTTCTTTGCATAATGTAATTTATTAGTCGCATTTTTCTCAAAAATAATTTATAAATTACATTAATGGAGTGCGATTTATGTTTGCAAATAAACACCCCTAATTTTTTTTTTATTCTCGATCTTCGTTGTGACCATTATTTGTTACATATAATTTTTTTCTTCAAAATTGTAGCTCTACATTTACATTCTCTAATATAGAATGACAAGAAGTTTCTCCCGTACATGTAATGAGTTATTGTTCAATTTAGTAAAGCACATATTTACTAATGACTTAAACAAACTCAACTGATAAAACACTGTTGATTAGATATATGTATTAGTAGATTTCTACATTTATCAACGAACATTAGTTAATTTCTATATTTCTAAAAAAATTGGCAATCATTGATTATAAGGGTTTACTATCAAGAAAACTTTTTATTTTTAGTTAGGCAGTCTTGACTGGAGAATATAAAGGAAGAATAAAATTTGGGAAAGAAAAAATTATATATAAATAAATGGAAATGAGGAAAAAGTTGCAACTTACAGATCGCAATGGCATATTTTGACTTAAAAATCAGATTTGCTTATCACAACTTATAATCGCATTGCGACTTATAAATTGTTCCGTGCATTACGACTTATTAATCGTTTAGAGATTGCGACTTATGAGTCGCTAGTGTTAGTCCGTATAAGGAGATCCAATCTGTAAATATCCCAAACCAGAGGATCAACAAGCAAATTCCATACTCCTTAAAAATTTACAAAACCCAGCCAAAGTATACCTCAGTACTATTTCACTGCCAAAACCCTCCCACCAAAAACACAAAGCAGAAGCAACAACAATGGAGGGCGTCTCGTACCAGAGATTCCCAAGGATCAAAATCCGTGAAGTTAAAGGCGACTACATGAAATTCGAGCTGCGCGACACCGACGCCAGCATAGCCAACGCGCTTCGGCGCGTGATGATAGCAGAAGTCCCAACAATCGCCATTGACCTCGTTGAAATCGAGGTCAATTCCTCGGTCCTCAACGACGAGTTCATATCTCATCGTCTGGGGCTCATCCCGCTCACTAGCGAACGCGCAATGAGCATGCGTTTCTCGCGTGACTGTGACGCGTGTGACGGTGACGGACAGTGCGAGTATTGTTCCGTTGAGTTTTACCTCCGTGTCAAGTGCCTTAGTGACCAGACGCTTGATGTTACTAGCAAGGATTTGTTGAGTTCGGATCATACTGTTGTTCCTGTCGATTATTCTGATGCTTCCTCCGGTTTTGATAATTCTACCAATAAGTGAGTTTTTTCTTTTCTTTGCTGGTTTATGGACTCTAACTAGTTTGGTACTGAAGCATTATTGCTGTTCTTCTTGTAAATAAGCCTAATTAAAGTATGGGACTTGTAATGTCGAAAAGAAGACAGGTTATTTGCTACAACAGGTAAACATGACCCGATGGTGTAGAAATTCCTTATACTGACGTTGTATATAACTTAAACTCTGATTTTAGGTGCTTTATATAGAGTTTGAGTTTTTATGGACTGACGGTGTAAAAAAAGTTGACACAACTAGGTCGCATAATAGGTAATTACAGGTAAATTTCTTGATAAGCAGTAATTGGTAATTGATAAAAATGGATTAATCTGTTATCACAAGTTAAAGTTCGCTGAAAGTGTAAAGCAATCATTAATAGTGTCAAAGTACATAACTTGTATCTTTTCTTTGTATATAAAGGCATTAAGCTTCTCAGGCTATGATAAATCTTCGAATAAGTTACTATTTTCTTGTGCCTTTTAAAAAAAAAGTTACTAGTATTTTCTTGCTCGTTTAGCCTAAAGTAGTTTAGGTTGACACATTTTTTTGTTGCTATTGTTGGTGTTATTGTGTTGAATATTTTTATGTATATCGGCATTAAGCTGATAACTCCTCCAATCAGTTAATCTTTTTTGCCCACCTAGCTGACTTTGACTAGTTTGGGATTGAGACGATATTGTTGCTTTTGCTGTTGCATTGTTGTCTTCTTCTCAAATATCTTTGTGCATGTAGGTCTTAAGCGCTCAATAGCAATACGCTCTCTGTTTCACTTAGGTGTTGTAAGTTGTATTTAACCTTAAACCAGTTATATAGAGGTTTTTTAGTTTATTTTTCAGAAATTGGGAAATTATATGTGGTACTTGTCAAAGTTTGGTCGAGATGCTTTCGAATGATTAAAGCTTTGGTTGCATAAGATGTAGTACATTTTTTGAATTTTTGATGGTGAAAAATTAAAGGAGTAGTTAAGTTGAGACAGAGGAGTAGTAGAGTTGCGATTTTTGGACTTGGAATGAGTGATTTGTTGATTTTGTTTGGGGTGTCTTTGAATATCTTGGTATTTTTTTTTATCTCTATAGCTGCCAACAAGGAATTACATCATTCTGCTGTGGGATAGTTCTTTTCATGAGGTGATCTTTTTTGATAGAGACTGCAGACTGATGTTGGTATTTTTGAGAAATTTTGTGCAGTACAAAGTGGTAACTTGATTCTGGTTTCCAGTTGGGGAATCTGTTTTTTTTCTTCTTTTTTTTTTGGCAAATGCATTTTAAAGTGCCTTGATATTTCATTCTATGGAGTGCAGGAGATTTCCTATAATTTTGTTGAATTATCGTCCTGTGTATTTAGAAAAAAGTGATCAGATATCAATCAAGCTCCCAATGAACTTAGTAAATAGTTTCTTTTCTGTAAAGGATAATAGTTTTCGAAGGTAGTGTTAATTAGAGAGTGCCGCATGTAGTTTATCTTACTCAGACTTATCTCTGGTCACTGATGTTAAAAGGAAATAATGTTCTTTCTAATATGCTTATTCTGGAGATTAATTGTGCTGAATGTCTTGGTTTACATGCTAACTATCCAGATAGGATATTTACCATCTTGCTTTATTTTATGCAGGGGAATAATAATTGTGAAGCTACGACGTGGGCAGGAGTTAAGGCTAAGAGCAATAGCACGAAAAGGAATTGCCAAAGATCATGCGAAATGGTCTCCTGCAGCAACTGTGACTTTCATGTATGAACCAGATATCTACATCAATGAGGACATGATGGAGACCTTGACTCTCGAGGAGAAAAGAGAATTAGTAGACAGTAGTCCCACGAAAGTCTTTGGCATTGATCCTGAAAACAAGGTTAGTCGAACTGGGTACTTTATAGTTTATATGTTTTATTGCTATAAAATCCCATATTGTTATGTCTAAAAAATTTCCTCTGATTTGTTGAACACTTTCTCTGCTCCCTATTACCTTTTTTTATGGACAACATGCCATGCTTTATTTTGTGAGGAACATGAATGAACACTCCCTCAACCCCCGTTAACCTGAGCTTATATCGAGATCTTTTATCATGCTCGGAAATATTGAACCAGAAAAGGCACTGTGAGTGCAGGAAAAAAAAATTCCCTTTTCCGGAAATATTGAACACTTTCAGTTTCAGACGAAAAGAAAAAAGATACGTAGAATACTTAATTTTGGGATAGAGGGAGTTACTTGAGTTTAATCGGCTGATACAGCTGTCCTCGATTGCTTGTGTATAAAATATTAGTGAGCTCCTCATATGTGGTATAAATAACTGTGGAGCATGAATTATTTTTGCATATTACCATTTTGTTTACTATTGCAATTGGTAACAGTGGCTGTAACTAATGTTAGATGGTCCTTTTAGTTCCTTTTTTGTGCTTTCTGGAATCTGTCCATGAATTGTAGGTTTTAGTAATATTTGTCACTAATGTATCCATGAATTGTAGGTTTTAGTAATATTTGTCACAAACAACAATTTCTTTCAGGGAAATGTATTAGCAGGACTATCTGAGGAGAAATTTACTATTTACACAAACTGAACTGACTTAGGATGATGACTTTCGCTGGGATGCGTGGAGCTTGTTATGGTATAGAAAATCATAGCAAGAAAAGTCAAGAAAACTAGGGTGGGATTCAGCTTAAGTAATCATATCCCATCCACCTTTCCTGAAAGTAGATTTGGTGTTGTTAGTTGTTTGGGGCCTGGTTAATATTGGCTTTTTATTTCTAAAGTTTTGTCTGCCAATAAGGTGATCTCTGTTGTGGCTCCTCTTAAGGGGTTGTGACAGGGAACAGTCTAACATGCTGAAGGATTAAAACTAATATATCTGGATATTTATTAGCTGTGAGTAAGCAAGACCTTTCACGTGAAGCATCATTTTTTTGCCAAATCTGAATTGGGTCTAATAGCATATTGGTTTTTTTCACTACATTGACTTTCTAAGAGCTTGTAGGGAAAATGCACATTGATTACTGTAAAGAAAGTAAAAAGAAAATGCACATTGAATTGTATCATTTGATTGTAAAGGAGGAGTTTCAGCATTAGGGTCCAGTGATGTTTGTATTTATTGGTCAGCAATACTTCATTATTAAATATATAAGATCTGAAGAATTAGAATGTAATCCAAGGGTGTTTTGGCTAATAAAAACTAGATTTGGAGCCTTTTCAATCCTAAACAATGCCTTCCTGGAAATTGGGGATGCTATAGCTTTTCGGCACAGATATGAAGATTTCAATTCTAAGAGAAGGCACCAAATTCGAATCTGTGTTACAAGTCAAAATCATTTGTATGAGTGGTTAAACATTTTTCTTCCCAACAAGAATGGTAAAAATACAGAATTAGTTCGTTCTGCACTTGCTCAGTGGTCAATCTACTACAAACAACAATGGACCCAGTGTATTCCCATAAATGGTGCAGTGGTCAATCTACTGAACCTGGAAAATGAGGGAGATCTCAGCTTTTTACCTAGCCAGATGATAAGGAAACATGGATTAATAGGTCAAAGGAGGCAACTCGAGACATCTCCAATGAGTAGCTTTTGAATTTTATTCAGATTGTGTTGTCGTATTTCTCGTTTCTTTTGAAAGTTAGGCCTTTATTTTTTATTTTCATCTTTGCAGGTTATTGTTGTTGATCCTGAGGCATACACTTATGATGATGAGGTGCTTAAGAAATGTGAAGCCATGGGAAAACCTGGACTTATAGAGATACATGCCAAGGAAGATAGTTTTATTTTCACTGTTGAAACGACTGGCGCAGTTAAAGCTTCACAATTGGTACTCAATGCAATAGAAGTGCTGAAGCAGAAATTGGATGCAGTACGCCTTTCAGATGACACCGTGGAAGCAGATGATCAGTTTGGAGAGTTGGGTGCACATATGCGCGGAGGGTAAAACCGCATTGGTCAATTTGAACTTCCTCACTTGTTAAAACTGTTGATGTTTAATATATGTCTTGTAAGGACAAGAAATCCATGAACTACTTAACACATTTTCCCTTTAGGACTTACCTTAACTGGTGATGGAAATGTAGGAGACTGCTTTTGTTTGTTGAAAGTAAATGGTTTTTTCCCATCTTGTACTGATACAATTTTGTTGGATATCGTATCTCAATGGATCATCAATTCCACCTATGTATTGACCCTACATATGCTTGCGAAGGCACGCTGTGTCCACTGGGGGTCGTTTGGTAGGGTATATAAGAATAGTACTGAAAATGGTGTATTAATAATGTTGGGATTAGTTATGATGGGATTATTTATTATCGATTGTTTGGTTTGGAGTGTTAAAGATTTTGAAAGGGCAGTTATGTATGTATGCATGCTTATCCATGTATTAAAAACTATGGTATTGCTAATACTATAATTTGCTATGCATAAGAATAACATTGAATATGGTGTATAATTGATACTTGTATTAGTTTTACACTCGCCTGGTTAAATAAATTCTGTTGGATTTATAAAATTCAATCCAAATAGAAATAATTATTTTTATTTATTGATAGACGTATATGAAATATTTCTATGTATTGATCAAGTCACATTATTAGAATTTGAGCTTAGTTAATTGCATTTCTTATTGTCGGATTTTTTTTATGTAAAAGAGAGAAATTTAAAGAAATTTGTACTTTTGTGTGGTAATGTGCTTTTACTACATGATTGTTAGTTTTATTATATATCAGATACACGAATGTATTAGACATTTGTCTTCGTCCTACCCCTAATAGTAGTAGTTGACTTTCTGAAATTTTTTGAATTAAAAGAACATGAAATGAAAAGTAAGAAGTCCTACCTCTAATAGTAGTCTTTGACTTTCTGAAAAATTTAAATTAAAAGAACATGAAAGGAAAAGCAAGAAATTACAACAACAGACATTACCATTGAATTACATTCCAGTCATGTATTTTTTTTCCTCTAATTTTTTCTTTTACTACTATTTTCTCTTTTTTATCTTTTCAATTTCCTGATCTCTCTCCTTATTTTCGTCCCTTATTCTATTTATTCCTGCCTTATACTTTCTTTATAAATTTTTTCTTGCATTTAAGTAATATGAATTGTCAATCTAAAATTTTTTATACTATCAAATGATATTTACTTGTAATATGCAATTGCTATATTAAAAACATTAAAGATGGGAATAAGTTTTCTCACCTCATCTGATCTATTTTTCGTAGTCACAATGTACACATTTGTAAATATAAATATTGGCTAATAATAGATGCCACACACCTTTTAATTGTTTAAAATGAGAGAAAAAATATTTAAAGAAAATGACATAGTAACATTTATTTGGTTTTAGAGTACTGTTACGTGATCTCTCTGTAAACCCGGTACAAGTCGTATTCTTCACATGAAGACCAAGGAATCTTTTAGTAAAATCGGCAAAGCAAAAATAACTTTTAGTCTATATTTTTTACTTTGCAAAAAATAACAAATAAATAAAGATCAAAAAAATACTTGTGGCATCACTATTACCATTACAATACCCATGATCCATAGACAACCCCCAAAAAAGAAAGCAAGAAAAATGACTTTGAAGTAAAAGTTGTACACAAGCACAAACTAATATTGGATGAACTCCATTGAACAAAAGCTTGCCAAACTTGCCTGCCAACTCTAGAAATTTAATAGAGATATTTATAATATCATCATCATCGTCTTAGTATGTGTGTGGTTACATGAATATTGTTGAAAATATTCGGTAATTGAACAACATATAACAAAAAATAATTTAGACCACAATATATATAGTTGGAATGAAACCAATGACCACAATATATCATATCATCATCATCATCATATCTATCTATCTATATTATTATAAAAGCATGAATAAAATGTTGGTTTACCAAAATAACCTTTTATTAATTAGTTGTATTTGTAACATAAATGTACAAAAACGTAAAAGCACTTTATTATTAGTTGCAGAGTCCAAATCAAAATGTCAAATTAATAAATATAGGGGTTCTTTTTTATTTTTTCATTCAAGTTCTAATAGCAACGAGAAAGGATTCGTCTATTACAATTTTAATCTGTTGTTACTTATTTTAGTTTAGGAAGTACTTGAACTTATGGAAAACACCAGAGTGCATGTAATTGGAATAGCCAGCACCATTTTCACAGAGAAGTCCCAGCAGAACGAAAAAATATCTTGCTTATGCATATTTGTTTCTTCAGTAAGCTCCTTCCATGCTACTTAATCAAATTTTGAATATTGTCATTAAACATGAAAATATCCCCTCAAAATTAAAAGGAAGAAAATCTTCTAGAAACCCCCAACTACACAAAAGGGTTAATATAGATGCTCTAGATTAAACTAACACCATGACATGTTTACATGACTCATTCTTTCTTAATTTCAATCCAACTCCTTAAATTTAATGTATTGTTATACTGCTTGCTGGATTTGGTTGAATTCAGCCCTCCTTGGAATAGTATGTTGATGATAGAAGCTCTCTATAACTCTATTGTAGTAATAATTGATATGGAATTTGCGTGTGCTTCTAATTCTAATTCCTTATATTGTTCAACGAGAATACAATATAATGTCCTACCAGGTGTTGAAGTTCTAAAGTTATGCTCGGAGTCATCATTGTTAAATTTTTCCTTTTCCGTGTAGTCATTATTAATTAATTTCTCTTTTTCCTTGTAGTTTAATTTTGTGTGTCTCCAGTAAGTGAGTTCTTATGCATGCTCTTTAAGGTAGCAACAGTATTATATGTGTAAAATCAGTTCAACATGCGGGCTACACTCTATTCTTTTGTTATATTTTTTTTTGACCTTTGGTGTTGAGTTAAATTGGTTTACATTCATCCCAATAAACTTTTCTTTTTTTTTATTATCTATCTATATCAGTGTCCCGTGACACCGCTTGGATCCATGTAAATCCGCCCCTGATCTATATATCTATCTATCTATCTATCTGGAAATAGTACATATTAAGATGTAAAATTATTATAGTAGAATAAGTAAAATATATATAGCTTCTACGTTAAGAAGAGATGTAATTGAACTCAAATATGGTTTGAAAAAAAAATATTAACTCATATATGGCTTAGGGATGTCGAAGTTCCATACCATCTACCAATTAATACCTATTCTCCACAAGGATTTACGTGTTCCATATGGAGTATTAGTTCTTAAAAAAAATATTATTTTATTATTTTTAATCGTACATATAAGAGGAGTCGAACTAGGATAAGCCAAAAGATAATTTTTTTATTAGAAAAGAAAGAATTCCAGGAAAATAGTAATTGTGTAGGAAGGCAGAAAGTCTTGAATTAAAAAACCGCAAGCGAAAGCCAACGGAGATGAGATTATAAACGACATGAGAGTGAATTAGAGCATGACTTGTGAATTTGTTCAAGATTTTAAATGTGTGTTAACCGGACACATTAAGAATGAAAGAGCATGATTCAAGGATAAGGACCGAAGCTTTTCGTATCATCAAGTACTTGGTTAATATTCTCGCGCGGGACGTTTCTCCTTCTTTTATTCTTTCACTAAATTACTTCCTAATGATGATTTTTAGATACTTGGTGAGCAAAATTTAATTTATATGTATGCTACGCTATTTCGTTCAAGGTCAGAGGCCTCTTTTTCCTCCTTTTAGGTTCAAACTATATCAATTGTCTTATATATCCTTTGCTATTTGCTTCTCTGTGGTTAGTTTTCGTTTTTATTACTCAATAGATATGGGTAAAAAAATAATATGGAAGAAGGAAAGAAAATTGGTCTCTCATGATAAAACAAACTCGCATAACTGCAATAAGTATGAAACAATTTGTTATAAACTAATTAGGAGTAATTTTTATTTATAGGTATTGAAACCCATTATTCAACTGCATGAGGTTCTCTTTGACATATGAAATAGTAATTAGGACAACAAATTTTATAAGCATACTCTTCAGAATATATGCTGATCAAATAGTAACACTATCCAAATTATCTATTTAAAAAAATAGTCAAATTCTTAAAGGCCGTAATATAGAGTCATCACTTAATTATAATAAATCTATTAGAAAGTAGGTATGTTGCCATTTGTAGTAGACTAGTAGTGGTAAATCACTAAATCAGGGGACAGAGCCATACTAATCACACTACGTGGATAGGCATACTAATCACACTAGCGTGGATAGGCATCTTAAACACTCAAGTTGATACCCGCAAGACCACAAGGATTTATATAGTGAGTATTTCTATATGAGTCATTCTAAAGTCTAAACATTATTCATCCAAGTATTTTTAGAAATTTTCATGTCCACGGAAGGAGAGTTTTACTCAATATTTTATAGCAAGTTACTTTGTAGTCAACGAGTTTGTAAATTAAATAAAGAAGCTTCGACCAAGTTATTTGCAATATAAACTTATCACAACACATCGGAAGTAAAAAACCAATTCGTGCAAATCTGAGGGGGAAAGAAATGAAGAAGTTAAAAATCATGTATCAACTAAATATATGGTAAACAGAATATAATATGACTGTTGAATAACTTGCCGACTACTTGTTCCTTTGCATTCAAAAGATCCAAATATCAGCCTCCTCCTTAGTTCTATGTATCAAAATCATTCTTAACAAGCAGTTCAAGTTCATTCACCAATATTATATAAACAAGTCTTAGGTACATCACAATGCATATGTATAAACTATAAGCACATTATTATATATCTAACTATCTTAATTAATATTATCATTTTATAGGTTTAAACGACGACCAGTCAGTTCAATATTCTAACAGTAATTTTAGGATTTAGATGATTGTTGTATTTTCACGTGAATATCATTACGGTAATTCTTTATTCCTGTAATTGAACTTATTGTTTCTCCATATAAACAATTAATCGAAATTCTACATGCTATTTATTAACGTGCAACGCACGTTCGTAGAAACTAGTTATATTAAAAGTAGGAAGCTCATACCTTCAAAGTTAAATTATGATAATACCTTTAAAATTGAGTTACATTTTTGCCCTTGGAAAATAAAAGCTTTCAATCAAATAATATTTGAATTATATTAGAATTTAGCGGCTTATGCTATAGTACTTTAATGCCTCATTAAATCAATTCAACAAAATACAATTAGCTAGGTTTGAGGCCATTTTTATTCTTCTTTAATTACTCCCAGAAACGTTCT